GGATCTTAGACTATAACGTTTCAGTATTCCGGCAATAGTGTCTTATTTTAGTAAGGGTATATTTCACCCTGGCCGACCTTCCAATGGCTTGGCGTTCCATAGTCTTTGCCTACTTCCGTAGATAGGAGTTAAGCCTCGTATCCACTAGGCAACATTTGACGCGACATGTTGCTCAACATGTTTGGCAACTTGTTGAATGTTGACGCGGAACATTTGTCTACGATGGAGGTGGTATGAGAGTAGGATGGAGGAGCGGATGGGCTCATTGCAAAAGACAGCTTAGTTCCCTTTGAGTACCGTCATTATAGACACAATTAAAGAACAATAGGTTGCGGTCACCGGTGTCCTCGCGGTGTTTGACAGTTTAAAAATGGGATTGTTATCTACTTGTTTTCTTTGAAAAATCAATCTTTATTATATAGCCTATATATCAAATGACTTAACTATATATATATATCCCTTTTTCAGATATTAAGTTAGAAAACAATAGCAATACATATAATAAAAAAATAACTCCTAAATGTCACAACGTATAAAACTATACTATATCACTAATTGCATTGCATAACATACAATAATGATATTAATATACGAACTGAGATCACTATCATATCTATATATTTAACATAATATATCAGGTCAGACTGGGAGAAAATGCCTGCGGCATTAAGTCCACCTTATGTACATTTTGTGCATGAAGCTTACAAATAAATAAATAAATAAATAAATATATTTTAATTATGGTTCACGGCTTACCGCCGTACTCAAAGTCATTTAATGGACTTAGCTCAACCCTTAGCAATAGGGATGACGTTGACGACAGGGTATGTCAAAGTCAAAACATATACATATTTCCATTATTCCATATTTAGGCACTTTTAAAACGTTATAAATTGAATTGTCCGTCCGTCTATCTGTCAGTGAAGCTAGGCGCTCCAAAGTGTATTTTCGAATGGAAAAGAATAAGCAAGAAACTCCAACATTATTCTTTTAAAAAACATGTATTTTAAATAAATATTAAAAATCTATTTAGACTATTTTAGACCGTCAATTAGGTAATGAAAAAAATATTATGTACGGATTGTTTTATTTTGTCGTATAAGAAAATAATATATAGATATATGAATCAAAGTTTGGAGGAGTGGGAGTTAACTACGTCAATTATACGTATAGATAAAAGTAAATCGTACTGTAGAAGTGACGTCACGCGATGTTTTAAATCATTATATCGTGCAAAGTATTAGTTTCCGTAAAAAAATAAAAAGTACATATCTAATGTTTTAAGATAATCTATCAGACGGACATTAAAATAAAAAATATCTTTAACCCTATTGTTTTCGGAACAAAATAGTTATTATGGAATTGTTTAAGTATTCATTAAATTGTTATGTTTTCGGCTTACTCACGTAATAATTTGACGAGGAACTCGACTAATTTCAAGCCATGCTAGGGGCTTATATTCATGAGCAGCATTTCGCGACCCGCGACGCGACGACTGTCGCGCTGCTACCTCTAGCATGGCTTGAAACTAGTCGAGTTCCTCGTCAAATTACTACGTGAGTAAACCGAAAACATAACAATTTATTTAGTACTAGCTTTCACCCGCGGCTTCGCTCGCGTCACAAAAGGATAAAAGTAGCCTATGTGACATATACCAAAACACACAGCGCCATCTATACCAATACTTTTGTTTTCCCTCGGGAATATCAAATTTTTCCGGGATAAAAAGTACCCTATTATTTAATCCAGACTTCTAACTTTACGTCTGCAAAAATTCAAAGCAATCGGTTTCGTAGTTACGCCGTGAAAGCGGAACAAACAAACAAACAAACAAACTCACTTTCCGATTTACAATATTAGTAAGGATGTCTCACGAAAGTTACAATATAAATAAAGTATTCATTAAATGACTTTGAGTATGGAAGTTATTATATCACATAGTTGTTTGACAAAATAATTCAACAACTTTGTCCCGCAATGCTGTTCATGGCTCATGTTATGATCCCCAGCATTGCTTGAAACTAGTCAAGTTAACTCCTCAAACATTTACGAGAGTAAGTCGTGAATCATAATTAATTTAATATGTCTCACAAAAGTTTAATTTTACTTATAATAAATGCTATTTTATGTAGCTATATATATATGTAGTTATGTACAGATTTACAAAAAGCCTCGCTTGAGTAAGGACAAAAATTTATTCTTATTAATACACTTTCAGTTCAATAAAACTGTATTTTTCCATAATGTTATTTTGGTTTAAAGTTATAAGTAGACTGCCTCGCTGGCCGAGTGGTCGCAAGTGCGACTGCCGGGCAAGGGGTCTCGGGTTCGAGTCGAGCGGGTCGGGCAAAGTATTACTAGATTTTTCAAAAAATCTCAGTAGTAGCAAAGAGTCTGAAATTGTATGGAGTGTCCGGTATATGGCAATAGGCTCACCTCCTATTACATGGGACTCATAACATAAATAGTGAAAAGTTGGTGTTACATTGTACAGTGGCATTAAGTGCCGCAATGTGCATCTCTGCCTTCCCCTTCGGGGATAAAAAGGCGTGATGCTATGAATGAATAAAATAATACACTTTCAGTTCAATAAAACTGTATTTTGCCATCATGCTTATTTTGGTTTAAAGTTATAAGTAGACTATCTGAATATTAAACTGGGAAAGTTTACTTATGTGAAGCTTGTATGTTCATTACTTAATTTCGTCAAAACTACTAAACAAGGGGCTTATACTTGAATCCAATTCCGATCGATTGACATTGGTTTGAGTTGCAACACTAGCGCCCATTGCATCCTTATTGCGTGGATATTTAATCAACTAAATGGTATTGAGTTTGGTTTTATATTCCGTACTCTGTATGCTAGTTTAACAGCTACGATAGAGGCTGTATAGTTTTAACATTGAATAATTATTGAGATTTTATAGTATTGAAATTGCATTAACATTGAGATTGGTTTCAAGAGTAAGCACCCAGATCGGGATATAATTGGCACAGTGATAAATTAATCTGTAATACCATATAGGCTTATTTATCCCGGTTGCCATGGCAACGAACCATTTGGGAAACAGTTTAGTTTATTTATCGATGAAAGTGTATTTATAAAAATGAATTTAATTTAAAAATGGTAAATAAATAGATAAAAATGGCGTTACAATGAGCATAGGAGATAAAAGTAGAATAAAATTGTCTAAATAAGATACCTACGTGTGTCAGACTCAATTGAGCAACTTTTTTTTATGAAGAAATCATTATTCACAGTCTTTTATGACATAAGGTTTAATTTTGCTTAAAAAAATTGTATGTGTCTAAAGTATGTTATAAATATGATTTGTTAGCAAAAACCCGATTATAAGGACCGGTTTTTCCAATGTCAGATCAATTTTAACTGACGAATAGCTTTGAATATTTGACAATTCTTTCATACTAACTGTCAAATGTCAATTTTATTCTACAGTTAAGAGTTAACTGATGATTCAAAAATCGGCCCCATAAGTCAGATTTACACAGGGTCGGAATCGATACAAGTCGGCGCTGACTCAATGTAAATTGATTTGAAGTCACATAACATCACGCCTTTTATCCCCGAAAGGGTAGGCAGAGGTGCACATTACGGCACTTAATGCCACTGTAATATAACACCCACTTTTCACTGTTAATGTTTTTTTTTAATTTGAAGTCACTACATCGGAATTAAATCAACGCTGACTTGAAAATTACCACACGAATATTTTGAAGTCCGACAGGTCAGTTTACTGACCCTGTGTTGAAAAAGGATAAAATTTATTAAACCTTTTTTTAATTGGCAGTATCAATCAAAACTATGCTTTACTCATAATTTCAATATAGACTAAGAGTTAAGACCTTTTAACTTTAAGTTACATTTTTTTAAGAGCAAATAGACAGTATAAAGTATTTTTTTATGAACCTACCATAGACAATGGCACTTCAAATGGCAAAAACAGTTCCAAAATTAAACCAAAATATCAATACCTAATTAAATAAATTGTCTATATTTTAATACATTTATGGATTGGAAAAAAATGTGTAAAAGATAATAAAAAAATTAAGATCTCTTTATAATAACTATCGTTAGTCATACTAAATTAAGTAAAATCGCGGGTTACTCACGTGAATATACTGAGAAAAGCTCTACTAGTTCCGAACTACAGAGGGGTTCTTACTCATGAGCAGCGGGCGCGGTCGCGGCGACGTCGCGCAGCTCATATATATATCCGTGAATTTACAGACCTTTTCTCAGTATATTCACGTGAGTAACCCGCGATTTTACTTAATCAAGTTCGCCATTTGTAAAGATCTGTTTGGATAAGATCTAAGATTACCTTCATTCAGATAATTCATTTTCGAGACACGTTTAATTAATATCAAAAATATGTATAAGTAACAATTAAATAATAGCTTTAATCGTGAATTTTTCGAGACCTTTTTCGGTAGCTTTCGGTGTAACTAACAAATTTCATTTATATTTTAATATTTATACGTCAAAGTCAACATAATTATACAGATTAGAGAGAACCATAATCCATAAATAAGTTATTTATTAATTCATATTTAATTTTAATTGTCAATAAATTACTTTTTTCAATAATTTGAGCCAATATCTTTACACGATAATGTGTATGTATCGCATTTTAAATTACGGTTATATGAATATATTGTTTTATTTACATACTTTACCACGTATTTAATCATTTATAAATCCTGTTGAATAAAGAAATCCGATATATTTTGATAACTAAACTTCTTAAAGCTATTGTGAATCTGTGACTAACAGGATTATATTCGCCAGAGGCGTCATCTATGAAGTGCAAAAATTATTTTGATACTAAACAAAAATCTAGTTTTGAGCATGTATAATTTACCTGAAAACCAGCCGGGTGCAATATTTTAACCCAATTTCTTTATCCAATAGAAATGTCACTATAAAACTTATTGAAATCGGATAAAAACATCTTAAAGATAGCTAGCTAATCAAATTTTTACCGGGAACTTTGTCTTATGGAATCATCATCAGCAAAACTGGCTCTGTTCCTTCGCTCACAGCGTTTCTGATGCTGTCTTATGAAAGCACTTAATCTATTTAGAAGAAACTGCTTATCATGGCCTTCTAGAACGAGTTGGTTCTTTAAAACTGTAACCATATGTCTATTAGCGGCTGCAACAGCCCAATAATAGTATAGAAAGAAAAGTAAGACCGCAAATGCTGGTACTGCGAACGTAGATGTGCCTAACCGGAATATAAACTCCCTAATAACGAAAGGAAAGCCCTCAAACGTCTGCACAACAAATTCCCAAACGTTCCCATAGCCTCTGAAAGGCCCGCAGTTTACTGATGGAAATATTTCAGCCACGGAGTAAGCTACCGGAGCTATGGACACTATAAAACCTAGGAGTAATACGGACATGAATAGGGACTTGGATTTTGACGCTTTATACACGACTGGAGACGGCGTACAGTTCGTCAGACAGGTGAACTTTTTAATGTAAAATATTAAAAAATAAAATATAGTTCCAATGATTGGTAGAAATGGACAGAAAAATGAACCCATCCATATTATAGTTTGTGTGTAAACTATGTCTAGAACATGTTTAGGTAGATAGAAATCCTGTTCGCCTATCATTTTGAAGCACCGACTGTTCGTATGTCTCGCTACAAACGCTCTGGGTAGATTAATGAAAAACGTCGTTACAAATTGTACTGCGAAATCAGTTAGGATCAACTTATATAGTTGCTGGCCTACATAGGTCTCCCAACAGTCTAGTTTTGAAGGGTCATTGTTATTGTAAGAACAAACAAACCCGTTATCTCTTACATATGTGTACATTTGACTCAGAAGCACGGCTAAAGAAGACAGTCTAAGTAAAACTGTTCGCAATAAAGTTATGATTAAAACGTAAGCAGGAGTGTAAGACTCAAATTTTATTAAATAACTAAATATTTCTGGTACTATTAAGTTTAAAACTACTATACATATAAAGGGTAAAAATTCTAACAACGTGTTCTCTAACTGGCCAAAGAATAGTCCACCTTCCTTGTATAGCCTTAGAGTGAATTTTTCAGTGTGAGTTTGGTTGGAATTATCTATGTGTACCTCATTCAGATTTTCATTAAATTTAGAGGTTTCTTCGTTTAATTTGTCAGTGGAATAGTTAAAAGTGAAGTATATAAGGACGCCTGAAGCTATGAGGATCACAAAAACTACTATGTTGACTATCAAACGCTTGAAATATATCAATATTTGCGACTCCCTAGTCCTCAGTTGTCTTTCCTCATTAATTTTTTCCTCCTCTAGGTATCCTTTTACCTCATTATATATACCTTTGTGTTTAATTTTAGCTGATTTATCATTATGGATACAGAAATCCCAGCCACCGAAGACTAAATTGCAATATTTGTAAAACTGTCCTTCATTCTCAACTAACCGCTCTTTGAAACCTTTTGCCGCTGTTTTGACAATGGCAATCAAAGATAATAAAACCCACGAGATAGCCACAAGAATATAAGCCATAGGCATATTATAATAAAGCTCACTTTGGAACAAATTTGCGATATAATATGAGTAGATTTGGTCTGTGTAGACGCCATAGAATAATATAGTTCGTTCCATCCACCCAGTACCTTGGATGACGTCGAAAAACACGTTGGAATCGGTCAAATTCTTCGTCATATAGTAGTTGGAACAGCATATAGTGGAATTCTGTTCATAATCTTCGCATGGGTAATGTATTTCGTGGAGTAAAGTCTTTGGGAGTATCATGAATAGTATTATTATTACTGAGATGGCTAGGTTTAGGAATAGCAGCCATCGTAGGAAGAGGAAGTAAGAGACTACGCCGGTCCCGAACTTGCCTTCGATCTCTCTCATGGGGGACTGCCAGAGTTCCAGTTTGCCGACTATTTCTGAGAATCTTATACTGAACCGATGCCAGACCTTGCGTTGTCTCCATTGTAGCTGCTCGAAGCCTTGCAGGCGGAGTTTTGTGGCGTTCTGGAAAAATATGGTAACATTTTTTATTTTTTTCTTTCTTTAACTGTGTGTGCTTGTAATAGGGTAGTTTCCAGGGAATGAAAATTAAAAATATAAATTTAAATTAGTCCGTCAGTTAGATAATGAAAAAATATTAAACACGTATTTTTTTTGCTGCCTCATTGGCAGAGTGGTCGCAAGTGCGACTGCCGGGCAAAGGGTCTCGGGTTCGATTCCCGGGTCGGGCAAAATATTACAGGGTTTTTCAAAAAAAATCGCAGTAGTAGCACGGAGTCTGGAATATGGTGCTCGGTATATGGCAATAGGCTCACCCCCTATTACATGGGACTCATAACATAAATAGTGAAAAGTGGGTGTTACATTGTACAGTGGCATAATGTATACCTCTGGGTGTACACTGTATGCTAATATTTTTGTTTATTAGTCTGTAAGCCTTCAATGGCATAAAATATTTTAAGGGGTATTAAGGTGAGCTGCTTATGTAAATTGAACATTCAATCAACGCGTGCACTCATGAATACGGGCTCCGATTAGGTCCGAAACCAATTGAGCATCCTCAAAATAGAAAGGTGTCAATCGCATGAACATTACTGAATAGATACATATAGTATAGAATCAGAATAATTTATTTGTTAAATATAGGTAGTTTACATAATGAGGTCTTACATATAAAAATAGTTCACTATGTTTTGCCGTGATAGACATACAAATTTCACATATCTTCACACTTCTCTCTCATTATGATATAGACAGATAAAAACGATGCCGTCATACCTCTTTTACTTCCTTACATTCATAAACTTTATGTAAAATTCTCGAATATATTGTAACATACCTGTAACCTCGCCTTGAGCTCTCGTTTCTGGTTCATGGGTACCGGCATAGCCTTGATCTGCATGATCTCCTCCCATGTTCGCTCCTCGTTCGATAGGTTCTCTGTAATTGATTAAACATACTTAGGGATATGCCTTATATTTATTTTAAGGAAAATATTTCCGTCATACATGATTTCTATGTAGCTTTAACCTATAAGCCTGCAAACGCGACGGAAGCTTTAAAAATGGAGTAACTTCTCCCGTTTTCCCAATATTTCCCTTCACTGCTCTGCTCCTATTGATCGTAGCGTAATGAAAAGTATACTATAACTTGCCCAAGAGTATGAAGAATAATTGTGAAAAATTTCGTTAAAATCCGTCGAGTAGTTTTTGTTTCCATAACGAACATACAGACAACATAATTGGGCGTCCGGTAACCTCACTCACACGACGAAACACAATGCAAGCGTTGCTTCACGTCGGTTTTCTGTGAGGCCGTGGTATCACTCCGGTCGAGCCGGCCCAGTGCGCTGTGTGCCGCCATGAAGATATGATAGAGGTTGACTAGAGGGATTTTGAAGCTAGTGGTTGGCAAAAACAGCCAAGATCCGTGAAACCGCAGAAACCTGGTATCAAAGGACAACATTCACTTTGGGTCGCGAAATAATGGAATAAGTATGATTTTTTTACCTCTTTGCTTATCATTTTGTCTCAAATTATAATGCCTCATATTGATCACAATCTCATCAATATACACTTCACAATATTGTTTACGATAACATCAAATGACACTACACTGCTATTCAAGATGGCTTCGTTATTATTGTTTTAAATAAACACAAAGTTGTTTATTTGTCCACTATTACTATATTATGCATATGAATACTAAACAATAATAATGGCCACGTTGGTCAAAATTGGTTCTCAAGTCGGGAAAGTACTTATTAACACTTGTCGGACCCTGATGGAATTGAAGCCCAACTCTGTGATCCGTAATTCAGTCCTTTAAGGAATAATGCCCAAAGGCCTCTTTTAACACGGAGAAGGTTTGAGCATTAATCACCACTGCTCAATGCGGGTTAGTCATTACAAACTTATAATTAGAAATTATAAGTCTAGGTTTCCTCACGATGTTTTCTTTCACAGTTTGTCAGTGGTGTCTAGATAATCTTAGGAAGTACATATAACTCGGAAAAAGTCACATTGGTAGGTTAGAACTCGCACCCTCATGAATGAGATGCGGGCGTCTTAAACCTCCGGGCCACTATGACACAAATCTCAAATCAAATCTCTTTTATACTTCCTATTTTTCGGTAGTTACTTTCGGCACTGATTGGGCTGAATGTCAGTATTTTTACAAGAAACGACTGACACTTGCCCCCCATTTGAACTCTCTCAATCAAATGAGTAACTACGTAGTTATTGATGATACACTGTAATGAATATGAAGCCCTGACCCATTCATAATAGAGTGCTAATTTACTCGAGTTCATTTACTGGGAACCGAATCTGTTAATTGTGTGTCAATTAGGTTACTGGTACTGTATTTTTAACAGCTAAGGCTATAACCTGGGTGTTTTCAAGGCCCGAATAAATAGGTTGCTTATGGGTCTATGAGTCGACGTGCTCCATCGTCAACCGTATCATCGCTTACCACCAGCCTTTTTTTTTAAATCATCGTATGACTGCTCCCGCCTGGGTGAGGCGGAAGGGAGTGTCATGTTTTTTTTTTAATGGGACAAGCCCGCCACAGCCTCCCCAAGCCGCTGCAACTCCTGTAAGCGAGGATCTACAGTAGATACAACCATGAAAACACCGGAACATTGAAGTCCGGCGCGTCCCAGGGACATGAGTAACTGTCTTGGTTCCCGCAACGAAGTGAATCAGAAGATATTATAAGAGGTGAAGAAGAAAAAGCTATAGTTTCCACTTCCCTCGGTGAATTACTGCAGGAGACAGAATGAATTAAGCCTGAAGGCACAAAGAAGAGACTGTACAACTGGGTAAAGCCCAGTCGCCAAGAACCGAATTACACCGAAGGAAAATCATCGAATTACTGCTCCCGCCTGGGTGAGGCGGGAGGGAGTGTCAGACTCTTACTGACTAAAAACCACCCCGTTCCTACTCTTGCACTTCGAGCCGGAGCCCCGGTAACCCGTTAGGTTCTCCGCGACTCCGATATAATATGGCTCTTAGCACCTATGGATACAAATACAATACAAATATTATAAATATACCTATTTATTTTGTTCAGATAGTCATGCAACTGAGACAGGCCGCAAATGAGTGAGTCAATAAAATGATTACTGACAAACAGACAAACTTATAATTACCTGATAAATCCGGCAGCATAGACAGATGTATGTCTCGGCTCTGTGTGGTCCGTGCGTAAGTGGACTGTCGGCGCTCATTCTGCGAACGCGCGCGTTTCACCGTCGTAGCTACGAACGAAATGATTCATTGTCAATTATTATAATTAAATGCATTTGAACTGGAAAATGTTCTGACTGGATTTAGGTGTTGCATTGTTCTCACATAATCGAATCAATAAAACTATGTAACTAGAGAATTGTATTGTAAACCTGATTGAAAAAGAGTAACCTATGGAGTTTCTTGCTCGTTCTTCTCCATAGGAATCTACGCCTTGGAATGAGCAACTAGCTTCACTTATAAATTTTTGTTGTTTGACGTTCAAAAGTGCCATCCTGGTCTAATTGAAATAAATGATTTTGACTTTGACTTTGTGCATCTTTGAAAATCGGTCCTAACGAAGTTATTTTTATGGTACAAGCCGGTAAACGAGCAGACGGATCACCTGATGGTAAGCAATCGGCGTCGCCATGCACACCTTGAATACCCGCAACGTTAGGAATTTGAGGACTGTTGAGGATTCAGGAATTGGGGCAGAGTGGAGGGGGGTAATAGGGCCTCCCGTGACCGTAATCATACAACGAAATACAATACAAGAGTGTCGTTTCTCGGTTATCGGCTCGGCCGTGGTATGACTGCAGTCGAGCCGACCCATTCGTGCCGAAGCATACTTCTTATATATTAGGTAATAATATCACTAAAAACTATTATAAATAAAAACCATAAGGAATATCCCTCATGGTTGTCTTAAGGGAGAGTGAGTGCCCGACAAACTGACCAGAGGGCTTACTCTTGAATCCAATTCCGATCGATCGTCATTGATATTTTTTTTATAATGATACAAGCCCGCCACAACCTCCCAAAACCGCTGCAACTTCTGTAAGCCAGGATCTACAGTCTACAGTAGATACAACCATGAAAACACCGGAACACTGAAGTCCGGTGCGTCCCAGAGACGAATAACTGTCTTGGTTCCCGCAACGAAGTGAATCAGAAGATATTATAAGAGGAGAAGAAGAAAAGACTATAGTTTCCACTTCCCTCGGTGAATTACTGCAGGAGACAGAATGAATTCAGCCTATAGGCACAAAGAAGAGACTGTACAACTGGGTGAAGCCCAGTCGCCAAGCACCACGGAAATTTGACTAAAAACTAAGTGGGTCCTATGTGTGAGCTGTTATACTTGCTTCAATAATAGGTATGGCTAAAGCGCCTAAACGGAACTAAATGGTATTGACTTTGGCTTTATATTCCGTACTCTGAATGCTATTTTAACAGTTACGATAGGGGTTGTATAGTTTTAATATTGAATAGTTATTGGATAAAAATTGCAATGACATTAAGATTGGTTTCAAGAGTACCCATGCATATACTTTAGGTACCGCAAGAACCTATATTTACCTACCTCTTCAAGTAAAAATAATAGAACAGATAACATTAAATACCCATTAATAGCGTTGTATACAAATATTGCATTATTTATGTACTGATTGGAATTGGAAATCTTTGTTATCATACACATAACATCATTTAAGCTTACCATGTACTTAGCATTTGTATTACACTAATATTATATAATGGCCGGCTCTGGTCGCAAGTGCGACTCGGGCAAGGGGTCTCGGGTTCGATTCCTGGGTCCCGCAAAGTAGTACTGGGTTTTAAAAACTTTCTCAGTGGTAACACGGAGTCTGTAATCGTGCCCGGTATATGGCAATAGGCTCACTCGCTCTCACATGGGACTCATAACATAAATAGTAAGTGTTATATTGTACAGTGGCATTATGTGCCGTAATGTGCACCTCTGCTTACCCCATTGGGGATAAAAGGCGTGATGGTATGTGTTTCTTTGTTTGGATATTAGGATGTTTGTTCGTTCGCGTTACACACTTTTAATCCCGTCGCGAATTAAAACTTAAAAGACATGGTGTCAAGGTTTTTTCAACAAACATCCATTTACTTTACACTGTTGTCGAGCTTCACTGACTAAGCAAAATATATATGTGTATATATATAGATATATGTATGGGTAATCAGTGTGTTTGTTTCTAATTCGGATAATCCTATTTGTATTATGCGGCTTAATTTGAAATCAATGCTTTGATTTAGGTGTTTTAAAATTCTACAACAAAACGAAATAAGGGCTCGTACACAAAACTGCGATGCGATGCGAATTCGCAACGCAGAAAATTACGATGCGAATTGCTGCGATACGATTTCGTGCGACGAGGCGTCTCCCAGGGTGACCATTCATTCGACGACTGTCAACCGTATTAAACGTATTTGAAATTGAAAACTAGGTTATGTTATTGATATCCCAGACATACATACATAATCTCAAGCCTGCCTCCCATGGATGATATATATATCCCCGTTATATATATATAAGAAAATAAACTCAAAATAAATGAACTCACTATTCCGAGCCTGCTTGCTTGGCAGCAACGTGGCAAGTTTAGCAGCATCAGCTCTCTGCAGATTATCGAACAGCTCCTGCTCCCCTCCAGGGTACAGCTCCTGATAGAACTCCCCCCCAGCTTCCTCCCATCCCTCCTGCTTTTTGGAGCGAGCCTTGTTCTTTGAGTTACTGCCTGACATCTTTTTAGAGCATCTGGAAAAGGAGACATTGTGTTATTAACTGTTACGTTTCTATGGAGACAATGTGTTAATAGGGATGATGACAGGGTATAATTAAAAATCTAATTATTCCGTCAGTAAGGTAATAAAAAAATATTAGACACGTATTTTTTTACTTTGTAAGAAAGATAATTTAAGAAAACAATACTAGATAAAATGAATCAAAGGAAATTCAGCGGGTTCGATTCCCGCACGGAACAACACTTTGTGTGATCCACAAATTGTTGTTCCGGGTCTGGGTGTAATGTGTATGTGAACTTGTATGTTTGTAAACGCACCCATGACATAGGAGAAAATCCTAATGCGGGGCAACGTTTTTTCTTAAAAAAAGTTCAGGTGTGACGTAGACGTGACGTAGCTACCCCCCGTAGCTACGTCATTTTAGAGTATAAATCGTACTCAAAAGTGTCGTCATGCAATATTTCAAATCAATATTATATTCAAAACTATTCGTTTCCGTAAGAAAATAAGAAATACGTGTCTAATGTTTTTAAATATTCTGCCAGACGGTATTAAAGGCATGCCGAGTGCATAACCGTTCATTTTAGTTCGAAGTTCGTCAGACCGTCAATACTTTTGTCCTGGTAACCAATATTTCTTTATTGTTATTTAACCAATAGTTAGTTAATTTTTTTTTATACTACGACGGTGGCAAAAAGAGCACACGGCCCACCTGACGGTAAGCGGTTACCGTGGCCTATGTACGCCGGCAACACTTGGGGCATTACATGCGTCTTGCCGACCCTTAAGAAACCTATTCACTCCCCTCTTGAAGAACCCCATGTTATAACCCACTGGGAAAACCACAGCAGGGAGTTCATTCCACAATCGGAGGGTCCGTGGGAGAAAATTCCTCTGAAACTGAACTGTACGGGACCATTTGGGCTCCAATGTGTGAGCGTGAACTCCCTGTCGATGGCGGGCGGTGCGATGATAGAAAGTGGCCGTGGGCATCAGTTAATTTGAGGTTTCAATAATTTTGTCTCAATCACAATAAAATTATCTAGTCGTTCTAATTACATTTTTCTTAAAGTTTTGCAATTGTATTATTCTTCTTAAAACTAAGTTTTCACCTGGTTTCTTATATTTTTACCGACTTCAAAAAAAAAGAGGTACTATGTTCGGCTGATTGTTTTATTTTTTTTGTTTGTTCGCGCAATACTCCGCCATTTGTGAATCGATTTTGAAAATTCTTGCGACGTTTGAAAGAGTATACTCCCGAGATGGTCCCATTTCCATGAGGTCAGGATCTGATGATGGGATCCTAGGGAAACCGAGGGGAACTTTCGAAAATTCTATGTGCGAGTAATGCGTGTATTATGTTTTTCAATTACGATTTTTAAACACTACAATTTGTGTTTTCTTCAAAATTCAGAATGAAAATCTAACTGCAAACACATTACATTTGTTCTCTATCTAACTAGGTATACCAACATAGGTTTTTTACAAATTCAAGACAACTGTTACAATACTAGCTCTGAGAGAAAATATATGCTTATCTCAACTTTATTACAAAAACATAAAAGTTAAAAATGTATTACAGAAAATCACAACTTCTGTGATCATTAATTTCGTTATCAGTGTCAGAACTTGGCCTTGAGAAATTAGATATATATATATATATATTTGCTAGCTACTTCCGCGCGGTTTCACACGCTCTGCTCAGCTCCTATTGGTCGTAGCGTGATGTTTTATAGCCTATAGCCATCCTCGATAAATGCGCTATCCAACACAAAAAGAATTATTCAAATCAGACTTGTAGTTACGGAGATTAGTGCGTTCAAACAAACAAACAAAAATAAAACTATTCCGCTTTATATAATATGTAAGTATAAGATGTAAGATAAGATAGGTATTTATACAGTCACAATTAAAAACCCATTAGTTATGTTTGGGAAACACCACTGTTTGTCTAGTTACAATAGTTCCTGTTAACTAGGAGCTGAAAAGGTATAATGTATTATTATATTATGTACAAATATAATGAATTGCCGTAAACATAGAAGTTTCTTTATAAATCAGGTATTTCCTTGTGTGAATTATGTGTCACAATTCTCAATTGAATGAGTCATGCCTTTGGTGCAACAAATACCACGTTTTGGAAGAAAATTTACTTATTCAAACATAATAATATCATCACATCATCACGCCTTTTATCCCTGAAAGAATAGGCAGAGGTGCATTACTCTTACTGACTAAAAACCACCCCGTTCCTTCTCCTGCATTTCGAGCCGGAGCCCCGGTTACCCGTTAGGTTCTCCGCGACTCCGAGCTTGTTACACTTAGGAGAAGGTTTTAGTAAATATACTACTCTTTTTTGTTTGAAGTCTATTTTTTTTAAACATAGTTTATAAATAAAAGTATTAAGAAATATATTTAGTCTAGCTACTTCCGCGCGGTTGCACCCGCTCTGCTCGGTTCCTAATGATCGTAGCGTGATGTTTTGTAGCTTATAACCTTCCTCGATAAATGTTCTATCCAACACAAAAAGAATTATTGAAATCGGACTGGTAGTTTCGGAGATTAGCTCGTTCAAACAAATAAACAAACAAACAAAAAAACAAACTCTTCAGTTTTATAATATTAGTATAGAAAGTATAGATGTGACTACCATGATTAATTAAGCAATTCACAACATATAAGACACCGTTGATGTAGAAACATTAGGAAAATATGTTGAAATAAGAACAGAAGTGATTTAGGCAGTGTCATGAGTCACCGTAATGACTATCATTGACACTGATTCAACATTGTGTTTGGACTAAATAAAATTTTTATTATCTTAGGTAGTGGACTGAAGTATAATATAGAGTGTAAACGGTACCCTGCCAAAAACACCGACTGGTTATGGTAAAAGAACAAGGTTTATGAGCGGTTCACGTACAACGATTTACTGAACAATGAACTGTAGTTGACAAATTGCAATTGGCCCGGATTGGCATCCAACTTATACCTACTTTATAACTTTTAGAAATAAACTATTTCTAGTGCTCAACCGTGGTTTTACCGTCAACTCACTGAACTCTAATTATCTCTGAGCCATACAGTTTACATAACATTTTTTGCCTTTTATCCCCGAAGGGGTATGCAGAGGTACACATTATGGCACTCAATATTATTGTCAAAATAATTTTTATTTTCATTAAAGCAATGAATTAAATATTTCTTTTATGTAATATAGTTGTGATCTCAGGCTCAAGACTGATGTTGTATTAATAATATGAAACAAAAATAACTAAAATTAAAAAGAAATACAATTTCTTTTCGTCAGCGTTTCAGGGGTGTTCCGGTTACTCTGTATACATGTAAAGAAATAATATAAATTTCTTTATTTGAATGTGATCTAACAGATGACGTTTATATGTCATCTGTCTATTTAAATAAAATATCCTAGAATTAGTATTTGTTGAGAAGAACAATAAATTGGTTATTAATTTCATTAATTAAATATTATACCTCTAATTGTGATTAGGAACTGGATCATTTCACTAGATATGCATATATTTTAACATCAAGTACTCAAAATGCGAATGATTTCATTAAACTGTTAAAAAACTGTACAGAGAGTGATGCCATTGAATTGATACTATCAGACCAATATCCAGGAATTAATTCTAATGAATTTAAAAATTTTTTGGATGAAAAAAATATTCCTATAATATTTACAGCCGTAAACTCTGCTTTTTCAAATGGATTAAACGAGAGATTAAACCAGACATTGGTTAATAAAATCAGGTGCAAGATTAACGAACGCGAAACTAAACTAGCATGGACAACTGTAGCCCACAACTGTGTACAAAAATATAATGAAACGGAGCACACTGTTACTGGATATGCCCCCAAATACCTACTTTATGGCACAGATGTTACGATTTTACCAAATGAGCTGAAACAAAACAAGGTAAACCATAATTTAATCCAAGCTAGGGAAAAAGCTCTGGAAAATACCATCAAATCGCACAATTATAATAAGATAATTTACGATAAAAATAGAAGACACATCGACTTCAAAGTTGGTGACACTGTTTTTGTGGAGAATGGAAATAAACTGAATCGGAAGAAGCTTGATGAATTGAAAATCGGACCGTACAAAATTATAGAAAAAATTTCCAACTCAATTTTTAGGATAAACACTGACCATAAGAGATCAGAATCGAATTTATTCCACATTTCAAAGCTAACACCAGCCCCTGCATACGATTAAGAACTATATACATGTACATATTACATCTTCGTCTATCTTCTTTACGGGGGGAGATGTAAAGAAATAATATAAATTTCTTTATTTGAATGTGATCTAACAGATGACGTTTATATGTCATCTGTCTATTTAAATAAAATATCCTAGAATTAGTATTTGTTGAGAAGAACAATAAATTGGTTATTAATTTCATTAATTAAATATTATACCTCTAATTGTGATTAGGAACTGGCATTGTTAATAATAACATTAAATGTCGTTTCTTTTCTTACAGGTTTGTAATAGTTTGAAACTTAATAAGTTATCACACATATTTATTACATTTTCATATTTTATAAACAATAAATCTTTTCTTACAGAGAAACTCAATTGTGTTTAACTGACTGTGTCGTCCTAATCCAGAAATATCTTATATACATAAAATATTACATTGCAATCCCTTATTCTCCGAATGGTTAAACAGAGGCATATCAAATGCAACACCCACATTTCATTTCATCTGTTATATTATCGGTCCCATGTTTTAAAATACATAATCTATGTCCTGATATAACACTGAATGGTTTGTTTGTTTGTTTAAATGAGCTAATCTAAGGAACTACTGGTCCAATTTGAATAATTCTTTTTGTGTTGGGTAGAGCATTTATCGAAAAACGCTATAGGCTATAAAATATCATGTCAAAGTCAAAGTCAAAGTCAAAATCAAAATCATTTATTTCAATTAGGCCAGAATGGCACTTTTGAACGTCAACAAAAAGAAAATTACAAGTGAAGCTATTTGCTCATTCCAAGGTGTAGATTCCTATGGAGAAGAACGAGCAAGAAACTCCATAGGTTACTCTTTTTCAATCAGGTTCACAATACAATTTAATAGTTACATAGTTTTGCTGTTTGGATTGTGCGAAAACAATGTAACACCAAAATCCAGTCAAAGTGATTGAAAAAAAAATAACCTTAAAGACAATAAAAAATGCTATAACCAATAGGAGCTGAGCGGAGTGGGTGAAATCGCAATAGAGTAGCCAGTAAGTAATAGAGTCCCAACTAATATTACAACATAACTAATGTGAATGTTAGTTTGTCTGTTTATTTATTAGTTACCTCTTTACATGTTATTTACTTAACAATTTTTTTATTTTTTATTTTGTCTTTCATGTACGCAATTTAATTACACAATGGCATGTAAAACGATCTTAATGCCATATGGCAGAGCTGTCCAAACAGAGGCCCGCAGGGGGCATGCGGCCCGCAGCTTGATTTCATATGGCCTGCGACACAGGCTTTAATCTCAACATCTTCATCTTATACAATAATAAAATTCAGTGAATAATTTGTCTACAAATTTTGTACCTCCCAGCTTTTGTAGACATTTAATTAGCCCACGAGGGTATACACTTTGGACAGCCTTGCCATATGGCATTCTCTACCAGTCAACCTTAGAGTTTAAGTAGAAGATCTACAAATAATAAGGTACGGAGAATATACTAACAGCAAAGAGAAAAATATATGGTCATTATGTAAAAATATTTTCACAGGAATATTCCTGTGTCACAGGCGAAAATAGTTACCTAGTATAGGCATATTATTTTTAAGATCTTGTCGCTTAATTAAGATATTTTTGTATCTATGTTGACGAGTGTTATTATGACTAAAAATTGTATATGAATTTTTTTCAAAGAGTGTGTACAAGAACATAGACTCAATTTGACACAAGTAAAGCTGCAGCTAAAAACTAGATACATGCTATGTTAGTGTGTCTGTATGCATTATCATTGCTATGATTAACTCACCTACCACCTACCTATCACAAAAAAACTGAATAAAACCAAATAGACACAATTCATAGAAAATATTCTCACAGCAGCAAATAGTATCTATTGAAACAAACTACAAAAACCACATTCTTAATTCTTCAATGACTGTGGTGAGAAAAAATGACTAAGGAGTTTTTACTGAATTTTTTATATGAGACTCATACCAAACTCATAGTTAGCTGGTAATTTTAAAAATAGATAGGTATTCAAATAAGTTAGCAACTTGATTAAAAACAGGAAATTATCGTATATTTAGTGTGTGTACAATGAATAATCGTAGAAATTATTTTAATATTAATTTGCCTGTTCTATATAGAGGAAAAAATTGATTTAGTATATGTGGCATGATTAATAATTAAGATTTAATTTAGTACTATAATATTTTGTTTTGTTTTTAAATCTTATTCTTATTTTGAACAGATAACGGTATAAACAAAACAATACAAATAATAATTATTGTCAAATTTTTTAATTTAACATTTGTTTGGGACCTCCGTGATTGGTCATTCATCTTTCTATTAGGCCAATAAAAGGATGCAGTTTCATAAATAGAACACGGCACAAAGCATTGATAACCTTTTCATTATACTTTTAAAATTAAGGGCAAAGGCACAAATTGACACTTACCGTATAACATAAACAATAGACTTCTATCCCACTGTTAGATTCACAAAGGGCACTTCACGGCACCACATAATGTCCGAGATTAGTTATATGACAAGCTCTGTAATTAATAAATAAATTAACGTTTAATTAATCGTTAAATGCAGGTAATCGAGACCAAAATAACACACATTCACAACGCAAGGAGTGGTAGGTACTGCATGTATAGTATGACGGATTTGATTGGTTTGTCTCTCTCTTTCTCTTGTCTACGTTCCGTTTCCGTTCAGAAACGCTAATGTTATCTGTCAAATTACTTTTTAAGACTAGGGATTTCTTTAGAAAAATTGTGACTGTAATCAAATTCGCACGTTTTTAAAAGTGTTTTTATACTTACTAACAACATCTGTATCTTATGAGTAAAATTGCTTTGATCACATCTTAGGTTAATGTTACGTGATACGGAATGTTCATTTTTAATTTCCTTAATCTGTCACTCATAGAAATGCACTGATTTAAATTGTTCATTTGTTTTTGTTCATAAATAAGTCACACGGAGATGCTAATGATGTTTGATTACAGAAAAAACACAATCAGTTTCAGCTTTTCAGCCAGCTAATAAAGAAGGACACACAATATTTCAACAATAAACAATGGGAGTCGTTATCGATCACTTTTATAAATGGAACGCGTCCGACGTGCTACCTGCACAGGGAATTCAATCAATTCTCTTGCACAGATCGTAACGACGTTCTTCTTAGGAAGCGATCAGCTATGCATCCGATAAAAACACTAAATTGATATCCGCAGTCGAGAAAAACCCGACGACCACCCGCCGTTCGCGTAAACAAATTTCTGAAATTCTGAGGAAATTTTCTTCATGCAATATCCGGTTCGGTTCATGATTGGAGCATTTTCGCGGCATTTCCTCCGCCGACGAATCACAGCAGGCCACCTGTAGGTACAGCCAATAGTAGCTTCCTAACGTTAACAGTGATCCTAATTTAGCCAATACAATATCCGGTGTGCGATGCGACTACATCCTGCGCGAAAAGCCCGGGAACGGTCCGGGGCGGGACAACACCTGCGCAGCATCCCTACAGACGCCGCTCCAAGATCACATCTCGCGAAAAGTAATGATTATTTCTGTCCGCGGGCGTTTAGTTCCGCATACTCCCGCGGTGGCGCTGTGCACGGGAGGCCGACCGCGAATACGTACCTCGTTATATGGATTTTAAAACGTATTAACAGTATTGTAAATTGATAAATTACGTGTTAAAATATAGTAAAGTGTATTACTAACAAACCGTGTTATGTGGCTGTGCTTAAAATGGTATTAGTTGGTGTATCTGGGCGTATCGCGACGCTGGCTCGCACGATCGGTGTCGTCCATTAGAAACGATTTTCCAGGGGCAGCGGAGGGTGTGCGATATAAAACGGAAAATTCCCAAGTGCGTTAGAATACAAGTGTAGTCAGTGTACGGGCCAGATGTAGTGAAAGCAGTGAGTGTATCGCAAGATGTATCAGTCGGGGAGTGTATCGACCGCGCCGCGACCACGTCTGGCTGTTTCCCAAAGCCGCGCCGTGCGCGCTCGCCCGACTCTACACGCTTAACGAGATAATCACGGACGATTTCGCACTGAACTCTGGTTTAAACTATTGTTATGAGTGTTAGCAGGCATAATGCCCGCTGTACCGACCGCTCTGTGCGGCCATATCATCTAGAAACACAACGAGACCACTAAATGGCGCTGGGGAAGTTACTTTCTGTGCTGGTCGTGGTAGCCATAGTCCTTGGCGACCATGAGGTCGAAAAGGAGAGTAAAGCTAAGAAAGCCATGGCGTCGGAGACGCAACAGAAGTACAGGAGTGCTAACCCAGGGAAGGAGAAGGGATCTTTTCACAAATTGAGTGCGATGTTCAACAAGACGGACGAGCGCCGCCAGGGCCGGAGGGGAGACAAGACCTCGGTGGACAAGCTGCTGCGGCTCAACAAGAAGTACAATGACATGATGAATGACAACGAGGGGGCCATCGCTATCAACCAGAAGAATTACTCGGACAACGAGACCGTGACGTTGACTGACAAGATGAAGATCTTGCGGCCCAACGTGCCTTTGTATGAGGCGGTCAACAAGAACCCTTACGTGTCTCAGGCCACGGGGGTGTACTGCAGCTTCGAGAAGAACGGCACTAACAACCCAGCCAGTATGTGCATGTGGCAGTGGAACTCCACGGTGTCCAGCCACGGGCTGGGGTTCAAGGTGGTGACTGCAGCGGACGTGGTGGCCATGAACCAGTCCACCAGAGGCCTGAAGTTCTCCGGGCCTACAGCCGACGCTGACGGCAATGTGGGAGGTGAGTTTAATATTTAATTTTGTATTTTTCCGCCCTTTTTCTATTTTCAGAATTGTAAGGAGCTTAAACATGCAGCTATTGGGGAAAATGGCGTAGGAATTAATGTTTCGAAATAAGGATCGGTTGATAAACATACGAGGGGATATCGTTTTGATTCGTGTTTGCTTTTATTGATTTTAGTACTTAAGCTATTTATTGTATTTATAGACATTACAATTCTAAGATATGGATCTCGAAACTAGCTCTTTCGTGTTTTATGCACTTTTCTGAATTCATTTTAACTGTGCAGTTTCACAAACATGTATGTGACTTAGAACTGTTTAAAAAGCTCGCGTTATTAGGAGATGAGAGTTAGTATAATATATCATTCAATTACTGAAAAACAACTGACGGATTTGGTTTTGTTACCAATTAAACTAAGACTAGAATGACCACGAAGTTTTTTCTAAAATTTAAAACAATGACAGATCAATAAATAATAGACATCATCAGACAAAACAAAACACTTATCTCGTTACAATTATAAGCACAAGTGGGTAGCAATAGAACATCTCAACAAGCTACTCCGACTACTTAGCAACGGAACGGAAAAAAATCGACATAAGGTACCTGTTTACTTGCAAAAATCAATTTGCCTACCTCGTAAACAACTTATTTTAAAGGAAAAACGATCTTAAGTGTTTGTTCATAAGAATTCTTTAAGATTGTTAAGTATCTTGTATCTATGTACGATTTTTTCGAAGTAAATCGATGTACTTTAGACATAAATAAGTAGCCTTTCGACTGCGCCCGTCCATGTTGTCAGGGTAAAAAAAATAATTATCAAGAAGATGTTTTTGATAAGGATTAAACGCCAACGCGCTTTGTTATTTTTTAAAAAGATTAAGAAGGCTTTATTTTATAATTATCCGAAGCCCTTAATCCCGCAATAGATAGCTATAAGGACGTATGTCCATTAGCAACGAGTTCGGCCTTTATTTAAAAGTGAATGTTTTGCATATCTCTAATGGCTGTTTCTAAGCTGATTGCATAAAACTGTCCCTTTTCTCATAAGTAGTTGTTTTTTTTAACTTTTTTATTCAAGTAATCGTTGCCCCATACTAGGATTTTATTTTGGAGTCGCGGAGAACCTCACGGGTTACCTCCGGCTTGACGTGTAGGAGAAGGAACGGGGTGGTTTTTAGTCAGTAAGAGTCTGACACTTCCCTCCCGCCTCATCCAAGCGGGAGCAGTCATTCGATGATTTTCCCCCCTTAAAAAAAAAAAAACACTAGGAACTACTGTGTCGTAGGTGCGTTTACAAACATACAAGTTCACATACACATGACACCCAGACCCGGAACAACAATGTGGATTACACAGAGTTATTCCGCGCGGGAATTAAACCCGCGACACGTTGCACGGCAGCCAGTGGCCCAGCCACCGCGCCAACTGTGCAGACTAGTTAGTTAGTAGTAGGTGCATCTATGCAACTGCACCTTGGAGTCTTTCGAGGAATAGCAGGTCTTATCCAAAGTTTATGTACTTTAACGTTTATACCGCTAAGATACTAGTCGAGTTTCCTTGTACGAACCGATAAGGAGTTAATTCCTTGTCAAATGTTTCTTGAAAAATACAACTTGGGTGTCTCTCTTGCCGACCACATCATCGCTTACCACCAGCCCAAGATCCAACATCATTCTATTAAATATAAAAAAACGTAATATCAAACTTCTAGATTACGCCTCCTACGTCATGATCATTTCAACCCAGGATCACTCACTCCATGATATAAAGCGCCTTCGTCTTGTAAACCAACTTCGAAAAAGGAGGAGGAGTATATTAGAATGTTGTTTTATTCTGTCATTTCTATCAGACATAAAAATGAGCTACATAGGTACAGTTGAACGTAGGTGCAAGATGAAACCATGCATTTAAGTGTGGGAGAGCCATGCTTTGACACGAATGGGCCGGCTCGGCACGACTTCACAGAAAACCGACGTGAAAAACGCTTGCGTTGTGTTTTGTCGTGTGAGTAAGATTAAAGGAGGTTAAAGAAGGTTCAACCCCCCCCCACCCATACCCAATCTCCCTAATCCCTGAATCCCCAACAATCCTCAAATTCGTAATCCCCAAACGCCGGTAACGGATTTGTAACGCCTCTGGTATTCTACGTATCCATAGGCGACGCCGATTGCTTACCATCGGGTGACACGTCTTACCGGCTTATTGCTTAAAAAAATAACCCATGGTGATAGGCAGATTACTAATCACACCACTTTCTACCACCAGGCGAGATAGTGGCTAAACGTCGACGCATCAATATAAAAGAAACTAGCTACTTCCGAGCAGTTTCACACGCTCTGCTCAGCAACTATTGGTCGTAGCGTGATGTTTTATAGCCTATAGCCATCCTCGATAACTGCACTATCTAATACAAAAAGAATTATTCAAATCAGACTTGTAGTTACGGAGATTAGCGCGTTCAAACAAACAAACAAACAAAAAACAAACTTTTCCGCTTAATATTAATAGTATATAGTATAAGATAAATAAATAGATACCTAAATTTACAGCTTATGTGGCAAAAGTGCAATGCAATATCATAGTATATCTTTATCATCATCAACAGCCCGTAAATGCCCACTGCTGAGCAAAGCCTCTTCTCACACGGAGAAGGTTAAAGCATTAATCACCACGCTTGCTCAATGCGGGTTGGCGATTTCAAACTTATAATTAGAAATTATAAGTCCAGGTTTCCTCACGATGTTTTTCCTTCACCGTTTGTCAGTGGTGTCTAAATAATCTTAGAAAGTACATATAACTCGGAAAAAGTCACATTGGTACTTGCCGTTGGTAGGTTTCGAACCCGCACCCTCATGTATGAGAAGTGGGCGTCTTAAACCTCCGGGCCACCACGACTTTATACTATGGCAATATTACAAAATCTATTTCATAATACTTGGATTAGATCGTTGCAGATATGTTTAGGTCATTACCACATATCGTATGTACCCACATGTGTAAATCGTTATGAAGGTACATTGTACGGACATACATACATACTGCATTCACAGTTCACACTCTATTAAAATATGTATGTATGTAACGTAACATTACGCCACAAATTAATATACGTGTTAAGTCAAACTCAAAAGCATTTATTTCAATTAAACCATAGTTTGGTACTTTTGAAACGTCAACAAATATAAAATAAATAATAGTCTGTCTGTGAAGCTAGGTGCTCATTCCAAAATGTAGATTCGAGAGAAGAACGAGCAAGAAACTCCATTCGTTACTCTTTTAAAAAAGTATGTTTTACAATTTTTCTGATATATACATCTTCCATATTATTATATAGACAACATAACATAACATCACGTATTTTATCCTCGAAGGGATAGGCAGAGGTGCACATTATGCCACTGTACAATGTAACACCCACTTTTCACTATTTATGTTATGAGTCCCATGTAATAGGAGTGACCCTATTGCCATATACCGGGCACAATTCCAGACTCCGTGCTACTACTGATACTTTAAAACCCAGTAATACTTTACCCGACCCGGGAATCGAACCCATGACCCCTTGCCCGGCAGTCGCACTTGCGACCACTCGCAGCGACAACGAGGGGGGAAAATCATCGAATGACTGCTCCCGCCTGGGTGAGGCGGGAGGGAGTGTCAGACTCTTACTGACTAAAAACCACCCCGTTCCTTTTCCTGCACGTCGAGCCGGAGTCCCGGTTACCCGTTAGGTTCTCCGCGACGAGTGTCATTCTTACTGACTAAAAGTCACCCCGTTCCTACTCCTACACTTCGAGCCGTGGCCCCGGCAACCCGTGAAATCCTCCGCGGCTCCGTATCGGCATCAGCCCTATTGGGCCCCATCCGTGGTGATCTGACGGGTCTTTGAGGCGCGCGCGGAACGCGACGCGCCGTACGCTCGGGTCTGGTTCTGGTCGGGCGGCGAGTCATCCGTCCTCGCCGTCCACAGGCCCGTGCACAATACCGTGACTTCGCTTCATAATAAGGGAATAATCTTGGTCCAAAATTGCATTCCCTAATCATAATTATAATTTTACATAGCCTCCCACGACAAGTGCGGGTGTCGAAATTGTCTAACTTCATACCAAAATCATGTTTATTTATAATTGGATTAATAGCCTTTTGGGTGTTGACTGCAAAGGTCACAGGTTCGAGTCTATGTCGGCGCACTATTGTTACTCCTACGCGCTTTGCCGAGCTGAAATGGTTATATTATGAGATAAGCTATTTGCGTTAAGTCAAGTTGTGATATATTGTTATGTATATTTTATTTGCGTTTAATAATATGTATATTGTTGTCTAATATTAGTAACGTTTGTTATTATTAGAAAATTGCATAGATAAATCTGTCGTAGCTCTGTCGGGTTATTTCAAATTAAAACAGAAGACTGCACAATTAATAGATTTAATTTCTACATATCAGAATCAAGACCGGCTCGCACCGATACAAAGAAATGCCCGAATGCTATGGCTGGCGTGTGTCGATGAAGAAGAAGCGCGGCGCTCGCGCGGCCGTGGGTTTTTATACCCCGTCCCGCGCGTCGCCGCCTCTATGGTCGATGGCCATATTAATGCGCCAACAAATCCACTCTTCTATAGTTAATATAACTAAAATTGTGTTATAAAATCGAAGTCAAAGTCAAAAGTCAAAGTCAAAAGTTTTGACACGTCCAATTGAATTGTTAGTGAAGCTAGGTGCTTGTTCCAAAGTGTAGTTTCGAATGGAGAAGAACGAGCAAGAAACTCCATTCGTTACTCATTAAAAAAAAAAACGTTTTTACAATCTCATAAATCTCGAGAAATAGTACCTAACCCTTTTTTACTTATCTTGCTATTACTTAACCTACTAGCTTTATTAGGGGACCAGCTGAGAAACAGACAAACGATACAACAAGACAGTTAGAAAGACAATAGATACACGGTATTTTTTATTTACTAACAAATACAATAGTTAATAATTGACATAAACATAA